AAAGATCACTTCGCTTCTCTATATAGTCAACTCTGTTCTCGATGAATAATGCGTTGTTGATGAGACTTGGTATAAAGGTCATACCTCGGATGTGGTTGTCTATGTGAGAGATGCTATCTGTTATCCGCCCGCAGTATGACATTGCAATCACAGCTATACAAATATGTAAGCTGAAGGGAACCTTTGTAAATACGAGCGCTTCTACAATCAGAATATTTTAGTAAATAGTCATGTCACTGGCTGCACGTACGACTGGCGTTAATAACGGACATGACACTGCAGCCACGAGGTATTAAGGTTGTATAGGGTGTATTCATCATGGGTGACATTTAGACACAACTGTATGCAGTCATTGTAACTGATGTGCCCTTGCTGGGCCAGGAACCGTTGCATTGTGCAGAATACGACATGGACAAAGTCACTTCAATATAGGCGTTTTAATTTAGGATATTTTCATGAGAATCCGTTGCGATGCATAAAATAGTATGTGCGTGCACTTTTCAAAAGTGCAGAGTACCATACCAACTCGTCTCGGGTTATCGCTTTCTAATTTCGTGTTATCGCTTTCTCGTCTCGTGTTATCGCTTTCTCGTCTCGTGTTGTTGCTTTCTCTTCTCGCGTTCTCGCTTTTTCGTCCGGTGTTATCGCTTTCTCGTCTTGCGTTATCGCTTTCTAGTCTCGTGTTATCGCTTTCTCGTCTCGCGTTATCGCTTTCTAGTCTTGTGTTGTCGCTTTCTCGTCTTCTGCCTTCGCTTTCTCGTCTCGTGTTATCGCTTTCTCGTCTCGTGTTATTGCCTTCTCGTCTGGTGTTATCGCTTTCCCGTCTCGTGTTATCGCTCTCCCGTCTCGTGTTATCGCTTTCCCGTCTCGTGTAATCGCTTTCCCGTCTCGTGTTATCGCTTTCTCGTCTGGTGTTATCGCTTTTCCGTCTGGTGTTATCGCTTTCCCGTCTCGTGTTATCGCTTTCCCGTCTCGTGTTATCGCTCTCTCTTTCGAATTTTTTAAGGCGGGAAAGCAATGGCCTTATCAGCCACCATACAACTCTCATGCATCTGGCGTGAGTGAGTGACTGATGTTTTACGCCGCTTTTAGTAATATTCCAGCAATATCACGTCGGGGGACACCAGATATGGGCTTCACACACTGTACCCATGTGGGGAATCGAACCCGGATCTTCGACGTGACGAGCGAACGCTTTAACCACTGGGCTACCCCATCGCCCCTGCACTTGACGTGAGACGCTTTTATCACTCATATCACGCTCTCGCGAACAAAACTAAGAAATCGAAATGGGTTCAGATGAAAATACAAACACAAATCCCTTAAAAATCATACAAATAGGTCTCGTTTTCATCGTCTTATGACCCGTGAAGGTCCGGGTTAGAATATTGATCTTCAGTAACCCGTGATTGTCGTAAGAGGCGACTAAAGGGATCGGATGGTCAGGCTCGCTGACTTGATTTACACATATCATTGTATCCCAGTTGCGTAGATCGATGCTCATGCTGTTGATAACTGGATTGCCTGGTCCAGATTCGATTATTTACAGACCGCTACCATATAGCTGGAATATTGCTGAGTGCGGCGTAAAACTAAACTCACTCCCTCACTCCCTCATCTATCCATCTATGCATGCATAAATCATACCCTCATTGTGGTCTAGTAGATGGAAAGACTGAGCGGAGAGGTAGTTCCATTCGTGGCATGGAGAAGTTATACCAAAATATAAGATGGTACTTATTGTTGACCTGCCTGGCGATTGGTCGATCAGGTAATAGTTTCATGTGTCTGAGAAGGGTACACATGTTAAAACTGCGGCATGCCATCTCAGTTGGCTTGCACTATAAACCTGTTATAGTCCGGACTATTAAAGTAATTAAAATATCCAACATCAAAAGGCTTCATATGACTGAATTTTTTGTCAATTTTAAGTTTAAACGTTTTCGTGTTTACGCTTGTGAAACAAGGTCTGTGTACTCCTTAGACTGAGTGTAGTTTCAAAATTCAATTTACTCTTTCGCCTTAACATCCGACAACCAAGCACAGTTCCTTGTCGGTGTTTATATGGGATTTCAAGCAGGCAGGAAGCGCCAGTTACTGCTGATAAAGAAGCTCTTTGAATAAGCGTTGCGAAGTTTGGGGTTCTGCTTAAGATAATTTACATACATGTATCTAATTTGACAATGTGCCTTTATTACACATACTTGATAGAAGGATTTCATTTATTAAATAAGCAATCTAGTGTCAAAATACGCAGTGGTCACCATCATCATCATCATCATCATCATCATCATCATCACCATCATCATCAACGTCGTCGTCAACGACAGCGTCCTTAAAATCTGAATCTCCTTCTCTCGAAAACCTCCTTTTTGTACCGCTTCGCTAAAAGATCAAAGCGTCCTCGTACTTTAACGTTAACTGTAGGCAAAAATACTTTATCACACTATACATGGGGATAGAGGGAACTGTATTTCATAATGAAGTGAGAACAAATGTCCCGTACCCCTATATTCTGGTACTGAGTGAGGTGAGGTGAAATGGGGTGTAACGTCGTACTTAAGACTATTTCGCTCATATGACGCCGTGCATGTGCGTGTATGTGTGGCTGCTTGTTCTAGCCCAGACTGGTTTTAAAGTGCTCGCTCACTGAGATACTATGCCGCAGTGAAACATGAATACCCCACTCAGACACATTATACTGACTCCGAGCCGACCAGTCCTTGTTGTACCCATTAATGCGGAGCGCCAGGCAGGGACCAACAAGTACCATATTTAAACGTCTTTTGGAATCGAACCCGCGACCTTCCGCTCTCCGGGCGGACGCTTTAACCACTACACCACGGAGGCGGTCTTATTCTGGTATTGAATGATACGAAGGTAGAAAATAATACCCCTAATAACTAAGGATGACAGACCATGATCAGCATATATTTAGGAGATAAACCTACTGTGTGGGAAAATCAGAGGTATATAACGAAATTATAATAGCTCTAAATTTCATTTAAAACCGAACGCGTAGCGTGAGGTTTTAAATGAACAATTTAGAGCCATTATAATTTCGTTATATACCTCTGATTTTCCCACACAGTAGGTTTATCTCCATTCTACCATGACAATTTTATGAACAATTTCAGGTGGAGCTCTTTCTTTGGTTACGAGTCAATACGTGAAGCGGCCTCGCATTCCAATCTCAAGTGGTATCGCCCGAAACGGGGTGTTTGGTGGCAAAACCGTCAATGACTAACAAACTCCAGATTCAGTAATAACAAATCACGTTTTGTTTTTTTCAATGCATCAATCACCAATCATTAACTGATAAGTTGGAAAACATATATCAAATAAGTTTCAAAAGCTTGGTTCACATTTGAAAATTCCACCGTAGACCCTTTCCCCACCAGAATAGTGGCAGCAACCTCATGGCCTTGACCTTTTCTCGAAGTCATTGTTTACATTTGGAAAGATGCGACAGGAGAGCCACTGACAGTTTGCGCAAGGTTAACCTGATTGTATGACTGAGATAGTCTTTGATATCTAATTACTGGTACTGGTACAAAATTTAAGAGTAGGGGGCGCTTTTGCTGTAACGAGAAGTCCGTGTTGTACCGAATTTAGATACTGTTGAATTTTGCGCCCTGTCAACTTGACGATTTCACGCACCTCTACGTCTGCGTGCAACAGCTGTGGTGACTCTTACACACCTCATGTGTGTACTTTGTGCTCAAATTCGATTCTACGGATATTATTTTCTACATTTTGGAAAAGTGTTTTGTGACCTAGTGGCTTCAAAGTGTAGTGAATTCAAATTGAATCGGATTCGCTGGCATGTTCGCGAGTCTGCTGACAAAGAGCCAGATTTGTGGTGATATTTCCGAAAGGATGGATCAGGACACGAGGTGTACCTCTGGCATAAACACGGTAAGGTAATTAATTATACTTTAATAGACTACTTTAGATCAAGCAGTGTAATGGATAAGAGGGATCATGACTAAGCTTAAATAACTTTTTCAACGATATTATACATTTAGAAAAAAATATGTTGGGCTAAACAGAACGGTTTGCAGATTCTGTAGATCTAATTGTGTTTTACTACCGCTAAATTTGAAACAGTACAAATTTCAAAATATCATTTTGTTTGAATTGATAACCCAACTGTTTATTTATGTGGACGGAAGGCATTAGAATCTAAAATTTCTTCGGCGTTCGATGTTAATGCATCCTCCGTTACCGGATCAAGATCGAGTGGCGATATCGTTGACGAAAGCTGATGATAGATTATAAGTTGTATCTACGTTACTACTACTTCCTACCACCCCTTGCTCTCCATCACCCCGCCTATATGCACGCACGCGCACACACGCAAAATCGGATTCGCGACAATTTTATACTTTATGGTAAGTAACTGTTGGTCTACGTCATCGTAGTCGTGATCATCATCATCATCATCATCATCATCATCATCATCATCATTGCCATCATCATCACCAACACCATCGTTGTCATTGTGTCATCGTCGCGGTCATTATTATGTTACTTTTAGCTGACGGACGTAAACGGTAACTTCACTACTTCAAGTGGGGTGGTGGGGTAGCATAGTGGTTAAAGCGTTCGCTCGTCACGCCGAAGACTCGGGTTCGATTCCCCACATGGGTACCATGTGTGAAGCCCTTTCTGGTGTCCCCCGTCGTGATATTGCTGGAATGTTGCTAAAGCGGCGTAAAACTACACTCACTCACTCACTTCAAGTGGGCGCGATGCAAACAAACCCAAATCAGAACGATATATATTTCGATGTGACCATCTTTTCTACCATATTCTACTCTGGAAAACGTTTGTCGTCTGTCTGAACATCGAAGGAGCACGTGTAGGTTTGTGTTTTTGTCTTCCGACACAATGTGAGCTGGTATTTGTCGAGGTGCGAGACAGACGATGTCACCAAGTTCGATGCTCAAGCATATGCACAAGTAACGAGCCTCGTATTGCGTTATGTTATGTTTAAACTACGTGGCAGGCACTTTAAACAACGTGTTGTTTCCTCTGTCGTCGATTGAAGGATGTGCGTCATGCATGATGTAGAACACATGGCCCTCTGTGGGACGCACGGAACACGGCGGCCTGCATGTGGACCGGCGCCGGGGTGGGGATGTGTGGGACAGCCCCAGGGTGGGGATGTGTCGGGGAGCTGAAAGGATGGGTGTCATGATGGCTGTGACGGTGCCGGGGTGGGGATGTGTCGTGGAGCTCAAAGGATGGGTATCGTGATGGGTGTGACGGTGCCGGGGTGGGGATGTGTCGGGGAGCTGAAAGGATGGGTATCGTGATGTGTGGGGCAGCGCTGGGGTGGGGATATGTCGGGGAGCTGAAAGGATGGGTATCGTGATGTGTGGGGCAGCGCTGGGGTGGGGATATGTCGGGGAGCTGAAAGGATGGGGGTCAGGTGTGACGGTGCCGGGGTGGGATGTGTGGGACAGCGTCGGTGGCGGGTATCGTGATGTGTGGGGCAGCGCTGGGGTGGGGATATGTCGGGGAGCTGAAAGGATGAGGGTCATGATGGGTGTGACAGTGTGACACACACGCACGCACGCACGCGAGCACACACACACACACACACACACTCCATTCAACTTCACGATAACTTTCTCTCCATATTTTGACACGCCGAGACACCGGTGCATGTGTTCAAATCTATGCTAACCCAACTTAAACAATATTGAAATCTGAAGAACAAAATACACGTCCCGAATTGTCCCGGGTGTGTCTCATACAGTCAGAAGTCTATATTCAACAAGGAAGCGGCACCGTGGCTTACAACGGCTGCTTGTTGTATGGCTTCAATATAGCTTCTTGCAGGCCAGTTCCTTCTCGAGACGGACATATGGTCTGTGTATGTGGATCATTCCGAAGCAAGTGGCTGACTTCCAGAGAAACCAAGTGTTACTGTTCTATATGTCTCCGCGTGCGTCTCAGCATGGCCAGCGACTGCTGTCCAAACACCAGGCAACGCTTATAAAGGTGCGGCAGTGGATTTGAACTTTCACCGGCCATTTTTTCATCGACGTCCAACACAACTGGACGCGCGCACCTCATGCCGAGAAGGTTATTGACCCCGCCGGTACCACATTTTCAGCCATGACCAGAAGTTTTTTTGTCGTCTGCTCGGTGCCCGGATTACGTCTGCTTATGTGATCGGCCGCTGTGGTGATGTAACTGGCGAAGGATGACTTTTGATCCTTGCCGCTTCCTGCTGAACGGGAGGAACGCGATGAGATGACACTATGTCAGTAGAATCCCCTCGGATATACGATAGTGAAAGAAACAGCTGGGAGCTCCCCCCGTAACGCTGAGATAAGGTTCATTGAAGAGGAGACTCGCTACCAAGTAGCTACGGCCTGTCAGATAAAGCAGATAACTCGGAGTGGAAGGGCTCAATAGCTGATACAAGCGTCAGTTTGCTAACGTGATGGATGTATAAACATTCCTAATAGCCGCCTGGACTGTGTTTGGACAGATATGTAGAAAAGTAGGGCCAACATTACATCTGTGGGCAACAGAAGCGATCGAGACAGATAGCAGACGACCATTTGAGACACGAGCAGACGATATCATACTGGTAGTCTTTCTGGTATAACGTTTCACAGTGAGTTGACTGAAACAACGCCAGGATATACGTGTTGTGCTTGAAGCCACACCGGAGTCAGTAACGCTGATGCTGTGCAGATGATGTGGGTGCATACATGTGCAGGTGGTGCGATGTAACGCGCAGTGCTGTTTCAACGAGGTGCAGACTCCCAACTCCAGAAGGATACTCGGCTGCATCTTCCCCTGTTGCCTGACCGACTGGACAAGTTCTTGTACCCAAACAGGTAAACAGACCAGCATGTTTGACCATACTCCCTCAATAGTGTTGCTGTTACAGCCTGGTTGGAACATCCGCACAGTGTCGGGTTTCTGTTATAAGCACCCCTGTGACCCCAATCTCGCTATCTGTGAGCCAGATTCGCTCCTCCTTAGTGTAATAGCTGCACTCCAACCTCGGAAACACACATAAACGTATATGATCAGATTAACCTCATTGTCGATTACTTTCTTCAAAGCAAATCATAGACTGCCCATGACGGGATTTCCAGTTCTTATATTGGTAAATTCTAGCAATGAAACCAATCAGTGTAATTACGTTATGATAATTATGGATTAAACAGTATCCCCATGATATGGATTCTTAAATGTATTAGAATTCATAGCTCCGATTAATTATGTAAAAGTGTACAAATAATGTACCAGATAGCATAGAAATAATCTGCTACCATATATACAACTTCAAACAAATCTAGATGTCTAGATTGTCCTAGGCCATTATATACATTTGTATTGGTACATGTATTGTTGCTCTGACGTATTATGTATCTTGTTTAAGTGGTCTATAGAATATCGTTACTGTTTCTATATGGAAAGTACGTTTGTGCAATAAAATATCTTGTATCTTAAAACAGAAGATACATTATCAGAATATGTTAATGACGATAACCCTCTTACTCCTAGCACTACAGTGAACGTTTGTGAAATATTTGTAGCGTTCATTCACAAAATTATCCCAGACAGATCATGTATGACCCACTCGGTGACACAAAGTAGATCTTTCATATTAGATTAAAATACTTGCCATATGTATATCAGAAACAACCAAACTACTGTAAATTTAAGTCCCTGTTATCAAAAAATAATGAAACACTTTTAAGAAATTTGTGTAAATATATCTTTCAGCTTTAAAATCAGGCAATCAAACTCCAATAAATTTTCTTTAAACCACGCTTTAAATGTTTAGCAAGGTGTGTATATATGTTTCCATAAACATTCACGGCGGACAAGAAATCTATTTGAACCAGATTATTGATATGTATGCCCTTTTCATCTATATTTGTAAACAAATGTATGTATGTTGTATTCGAACACCGCTTAACTTGACTTGACATATTACTGATTTCGATAAGAGTAATTATTATGGGTTGCAGGTGTATCAATTATTGTAGTACAGCCAAAAGTATGGCGTCATCAGGAGAAAGCACTGTAGAGTAGGGAGAAACCAAAATAGATCAATTATAAATAGCTTCAAGTTCCTGTGTGGATGTCATAGGGTATTACCTGGACTGGATGATTCTATTCTCACTAATACAACTGGCGTATATGAAATAATACACCCGAGGTGACACGAGCAACGAGTTTAAGTAACTTTACGGTAATATACATACTTCTACATTGCTCCCATTCTGATATGGCTGCAGTCATCAATATGTTTTTATGCATGGTATTTTCACGTAATTTACTTCTTTCAAAGACCAAGGGCAGGATTTGTATCAGGTCTCTGATAATGTGTTTTTTGTCATGGGGACGTTGTACAAGTCATATTCGTGCCATTTGTTTGCAGAAAATGTCAATGTTTTGTTTTTCTTTTCTGTTATCAAGTATCATTACAGTACGCACAATTCAAAACGAACTGTTTCGATATGCAACGAAGCGAATATTAAAAGTTGCAAACTGGAGGTGCAGAGACTGTTCCGTTGCTATTTTGAATTTATTGAATGTATATTTTTGTATTTATTATATTTACTAAAATATAAATCAAGTCCAGGTCAAACTAATTCAGATCTCCTGTCGTCGATTAACATGGAAAGGTATAGAAAATATAGTACACATATTGTAAAGAATGGCGACAGGTCGGTACTAACCACACACAGCACAGAAGTGTTTGATATGATTAATCTCGGTAACTTTCGGAGAAACATGTGTCAAAGTCATCGCACACATGTTATCAATCACACATGTTATCAGTGGCCGCTCCAGATAGCTTGGGCTAAACTGATAACTCTAACGTACCAGCATCGCCCGAAATTGTAACCCCCCAACCCACCCCACCCTCTCTCTCTGTCTCTCTCTCTCTCTCTGTCTTTCTCTCTCTCTCTCTGTCTTTCTCTCTCAGTCTGTCTCTCTCTAGGTCTGTCTGTCTGTCTCTTTTTTTCTCTCTCTCTCTGTCTGTCTCTTTCTCTCTCCTGTCTGTCTGTCTGTCTGTCTGTCTCTCTCTCTCTCTCTCTCTCTCTCTCTCTCTCTCTCACGCATACACACACACACACACACACACACATCTTATACTTATTTGCCCTACTGTTGCCCCCTGATGTTGGCCTATTTATATTCACCGACGTGCTATGTTAGTGTACATGTGTGTATGTATATTCCTACTCCATGCTGACCGTATAACACATAACCTTTAACGTCATGGGCAGCAATGAAATATATTGCAACATTAATTTCAATATCTAACTCACGCGCTAAATGCAGTGTTACGTTTCAAATAGTAAGCGTCCGCCCGGGAGAGCGGAAGGTCGCGGGTTCGATCCCCGACCGCGTCATACCAAAAAACGTTAAAATATGGTACTTGTTGGTCCCTGCCTGGCGTTCGGCATTAATGGGTACAACAAGGACTTTTCGGGTCAGAGTGAGTATAATGTGTCTGAGTGGGGTATTCATGCTTAACTGCGGCATGGTATCTCAGTGGGGTAGCACTATAAAACCAGCCTCAGTCTGGGCTAGTACAAGCAGCCACACATACACACGCATGCACGTCGTCATATGAGCGAAATATTCTCAAGCACGACGTTAAACCCAATTTCACCTCACCTCACCTCAAATAGTAATATTGGTTATTGAAACTACACATCAGTTCATCATAGTATATAATATAGATACATTATCAGAATATGTTAATGATGATAACCCTCTTACTGCTAGCACTACAGTGAACGTATGTGAAATATTTGTAGCGTTCATTCACAAAATTATCATGTATGACCCACTCGATGACACAAAGTAGATCTTTCATATTACTGATTTTGATAAGAGGACTGACTGACTGAGTTTGGTTTTACGCCGCTTTTAGCAATATTCCATCAACATCACGGCGGGGGACACCAGAAATGGGCTTCACTCATTGTACCCATGTGGGGATTCGAACACCGCCCCTTGATAAGAGGAATTATGTGTCAAAGTATATTACTGGGTTGCAGGTGTATCAGTTATTGTAGTACAGCCAAAAGTATGGCGTCATCAGGAGACACTGTAGAGTAGGGAGAAACCAAAAATAGATCAATTATAAATAGCTTCAAGTTCCTGTGTGGATGTCATAGGGTATTACCTGGACTGGATGATTCTATTCTCACTAATACAACTGGCGTATATGAAATAATACACCCGAGGTGACACGAGCAACGAGTTTAAGTAACTTTACGGTAATATACATACTTCTACATTGCTCCCATTCTGATATGGCTGCAGTCATCAATATGTTTTTATGCATGGTATTTTCACGTAATTTACTTCTTTTCAAAGATCGGGAAGGGCAGGATTTGCATCAGGTCCTGATAATGTGTTTTTGTCAGGGGACGTTGTACAAGTCATATTCGTGCCATTTTGTTTTGCAGAAAATGTCAATGCTTTTTTTTCTTTCTGTTATATCAAGTATCATTACAGTATGCATAATTCGAAACGAACTGTTTCGATATGCAACGAAGGAATATTAAAAGTTGCAAACTGGAGAGGTGCGAAGACTGTTCCGTTGCATATTTTGAATTTATTGAATGTATATTTTTGTATTTAGTTATATTTACTAAAATATAAATCAAGTCCAGGTCAAAATTAATTCAGATCTCCTGTCGTCGATTAACATGGAAAGGTATAGAAAATATAGTACACATATTGTAAAGAATGGCGACAGGTCGGTACTCAACCACACACTGCAGCAGAAGTGTTTGATATGATTAATCTCGGTAACTTTCGGAGAAACATGTGTCAAAGTCATCGCACAACACATGTTATCAATCACACATGTTATCAGTGGCCGCTCCAGATAGCTTGGTCTAAACTGACAACTCTAACGTACCAGCATCGCCCGAAATTGTGCCCCCACACACACACACACACCTCTCACTCTCTCTCTCTCTCTCTCTCTCTCTCTCTCTCTCTCTCTCTCTCTCAGGCTCTCTCTCTCTGTCTTTCTCTCTCAGTCTGTCTCTAGGTCTGTCTGTCTCTTTTTCTCTCTCTGTCTGTCTGTCTCTTTCTCTCTCCTGTCTGTCTCTCTCTCTCTGTCTCTCTCTCTCTCTCTCACACACACACACACACACACACATCTTATACTTATTTGCCCTACTGTTGCCCCTTGATGTTGGCCTATTTATATTCACCGACGTGCTATGTTAGTGTACATGTGTGTATGTATATTCCTACTCCATGCTTACCGTATAACCCATAACCTTTAACGTCATGTGCAGCAATGAAATATATTGCAACCTTAATTTCAGTATCTAAATAACGCGCTAAATGCAGTGTTACATTTCAAATAGTAAGCGTCCGCCCGGAGAGCGGAAGGTCGCGGGTTCGATCCCCGACCGCGTCATACCAAAAGACGTTAAAATATGGTACTTGTTGGTCCCTGCCTGGCGCTCGGCATTAATGGGTACAGCAAGGACTGGTCGGCTCGGAGTCAGTATAATGTGTCTGAGTGGGGTATTCATGCTTCACTGCGGCATGGTATCTCAGTGGGCTAGCACTATAAAACCAGCCTCAGTCTGGGCTAGTACAAGCAGCCACACGTACACACGCATGCACGTCGTCATATGAGCGAAATATTCTCAAGCACGACGTTAAACCCACTTTCACCTCACCTCACCTCAAATAGTAATATTGGTTATTGAAACTACACATCAGTTCATCATAGTATATAATATGGCGCTTGTGTACCTGTAATACTGCGTCCGGTATTACAAGAAACATGAGAAATAATTTGAATAATAATAATTTTATGGCGCATGGAATT